CACCATTGAAAAGACGGAAAACTCATTGAGGCCTGAAAGGCTGAACTATTCTGACCAATAACCGTCGAATGATCGGATTCATTCTGCTTTGACTTCTGTTTTTTACTACAACTCTGACGCTTGCTTGGAAAAAGCATGATCGTTACTGCAGCTGATTCCTACTACTAGTACTACTACAAATAGTTCCTGCATGAACCTCAAGGATAACTTTGCAAAATACGCACGAATTGCAAAAAAACATCGTCCAAACCATGCACGTCCGAACCTTCGAAAACACTGGCAGGCGTGTCACTTTTGTTACTAGAAGAGTGTGCTCGTGCTTTCAAATCAAGAAAAAAGACACATCCGTGAAACGCATTTATCACTAAGAATGCTGGTATTCGTGGGGTAAATGCACGATTTGGCGTGCAAAATCCACGGGGCCACCAGCGGTGGCGTGACCTTGTTACTATGACTATTTGTCTTGGTTGTATTCGTTTTACTTTCATGCTATTAGAATCGTCATGGTTATGAATAGTAGTATTTTGATAACTGTTGCCACACACACCGCACATGTACTACTATCCTTACTATACTCATGATTAGCACTACCATTTCTACTGTTACCATTATTGCCGTTGCTAGTCACTTCCCTTCGTTCGTTAGAAAAAGCCCTAATAATAAAACACTTTCCGGGGAATCATTCTGAAATCATCATCGCCTTTTAAAGCCTGTTTTTAATTCGCGGGGTGTAAGAGCAAGTGCAGGAGCAATAGCAGGAGCAAGAGCAGCAGCAAGAGCAGGAGCAGGAGCAGGGGAAAGAGCAGAAGCAAGAATAGGAGCGAAAGAGCTGCAGCATGAGCAAGAGCAGAAGCAAGAGCCGCAGCGGGAGCAGGAGCAAGAGCCGCAGCAGCAGCTGCAGCAGTAGCAAGAGCCAGAGCAGGAGCAAGCATCCCCAAAGTGTCAGTAGAGATAAAACCCGACCTAATATCGAGAACACTTTTCGAGTTTTATTGACCACTCCTCTTTTCATGTTAGAGGGAGGGGGCAATAATTGTCCCCTCATTCTGACTATCATTACTATTCTTGCTATCATTAATATTATTGTTCTCATGACAGTAGTCTTAGTGTAAATGCTGTTGCTAGCATTGTTGCTGTCTTTACTTTTGTTGCTTCCATTGTTCCTGTTGTATTGCTACTCTTGTGATTGTTGTCGCTATTATTATCATTATTTCCATCATTGCTGTTATTACAGTCATTCTCATTAGTATTACTAGTATTAGTGGTATTACTTGTATCGGCTAGTTTTACGAGTTTTACTACTTCTGTACTACTGCTGCTCCTGCTATTATTGCTACTAGTGCTTTTACCATCACTACCTTTTTTACTATTTTTGGTAGCTATTTTTTATTAGATTGCCGTTACTTTTATTATTGCTATGATCACCATGACGACCTTTTTCCTCTCATGAGTTATTATCACAAGAATTTCTACTATTATTGTCACTGTAACTACTGTTGTTATTATTCTTACCATCATTACCCTTGTTACGATTATTGCCAGTATTACGATAATTCCTAGCATGACTATTATTACCATGATTGCTAGTGTTACTGTTATTCTTACTGTTACTCTGAGTCTATGACTACCATTGTTAACATTCTTACTATTTGTTGTTGCCATTAAGCCCGAACCAGCCAAAGCCGCCAAATGAAGCATTCCGGTCACCTGAAACAGGGAGTTTCCCAAGAGCTTGCCGCACAATAACTGCTGTTTGCCTTTAGCTTGCCGCTACGCAAGACCTGCATTGGTGCATAGTTTTTCTTGGTCACTTTTTGTTCCGTGATCCCGGCCGGTTACATCAGTTTTGTGATCCTTAGACCACCGCGGCCTGCGAGCTTCAGCTTTGCGGACTCTGTGAGGCTCTGGCTTTCCGAGCCCAAGCAGCCCCGGGAGCCCCGTCAGTGCCCCGGGCCTGGGTGCCACGTCTCCGCGGCGCGGCAGAGGTCTGACTTCTGACGGGACGGGAGAGATGCAACTGGAAGTTACTCAGCTTCTCCTCACGCAGCGCGCCGATGTCTATCTTCGTTCATGATATGCAGGCGTCCTTGCAAGATTTTCGATTCAGCGTTTAGCTTCAACTGGATTTTGCTTCTGTCCGGAGTGCTGCTTTCAGTGTATCGCGCCTCAGATCCCCAAGTCCTTGTTGAGGCTTGCCTGATAAGGACAATTTCTCGAAGGTTCACAGTGTAAAGGGGGCGTAGACAAAGCCCGGCGCAAGTTGGGCTTGGACTGTCTTTTCATTGCAATCCGCTCCGGCCAAGTGTAGGGCGATGAAGTGAGACTGGCATGCCAGGAGGCGATGGCCAGGCATCCAGCACACCTCGGCTCGTGAGCAGAGGTCAATGCATTGCACGTCTTGAAAGTCCGCTCTGTGCAGGCCTTGGGCATCGTGCCACACATGCCGAAGTCGGTGCAAGGCCCGGGCTCTCCATAAACATCAGCACCTGTGAGCAGTGGGTGCTTTCGGAGAAAGCTTGTGTTGCTGGCCATGCTTCGGTGTTTTGCATCCGATGAGGACTCGTTGGTAATTCTTGCGTTGCCTTCGCCACTAAGTGTGTTGAACAGTTGAACGTGCAGGAGCTGCGAGAAGTGCAAGGGGCTTTCCTGTTGAAAGGTACTGCAGCAACCAGTGTTGGCGCACTGCCGGAAGCAGAACTTCTGCCTCACTCTTGCTTGGTTTGTGGCCTCGCGCCACTCAGCACACCGAAGAGAGCAGCGGCACACTACAACTTTTTCATGTGCTCCGCCCTCAGCAACGAATGACTTGCGGCTGCACTTAACGGCAGGATTCGGACTGAGGTCTGGCTACCCTGGCTTTCGCTTTGTACAGCGAGTTGCCCAAGGCCCTTCCTCCTGCTCACACGGCCTGGTTCGAATTCGAAAGTCATGTCTGGTAGGTTTGGGTGACGGTGATCTTGATGTCGCAGTCGGTGGAGCCCGTGTCTGCCATCGTTCGCGTGCCAATTGTCGCCATCAACGGCTTGTGCCCTCCCGTGATCCTATGCATGATACCCACGGACCCAGACTCCACGGAACTGTGGCTGAGGTATCTGCTCTGGTGCCTTCTGTTGGTTTCGCGGCCTGCTTGCGATCCATTGAAGCAAGATGCCGAGCAGGAAAGTTGCCAGCTCAGGCACCACCTCCTGTCCTGGTGCGGCTGCAGACGGGTGACTGCCCGCACCCAGCAGCCGAGCATGCTCAGCCTCCCCGCCAAAATGTTACTGCTCGGGTGCTCGTGTATGTAACCCTGAACTGCTCCGAGCTCTGTGAGAAGCTCGCCTTGTAAGGAGTGTCAGCCACTGTGTCGGCATCGGAGGATGCCGTGGTTCTGCAGTGGCAGCCTGGCTGCGTGCCAGAGTGCATCCATTCTGCCCGGGCTGTAGGCTCTGGCCAGAGTCGCTCAATGATGTGCGGTTCTGCGGATCGACCGTCCATCGACGCCTTCTTCAGCCTAGCCTCACCATCTATCCTTTCAGCCTGAAGCCACGGTTTAAGGTTTTCCCGAACCCCTGAAAGGCCGCCGTCTCTATTATCTGCAAATGCACTAAGCAACTACATGTTTGAATGGAGCGGTCCACCCCCATTCGGATTGGAAGGCGGGGCGCTAGAATTGCTAGAGCCAAAACCGAAGCCTCGGGCGTCCATGTGGTCAGCGGTGCTCGGCCGTTTAGGGCCGAGCAAGATGCTTCCACACGTGACGTGCGCGGTGTTGGCATCATTCACGTCTGGCACTGCAGCATTTCAGCTTTTCGAAGCACGGCAAACAATGCGTTTCGAAGTTTTTAAAAGCACTTCAAGTGGCTCGCACCAAGCACCTGCGCCCAATAGTGCTCCTGCAGACCACCCGCGGAGGCAGACTTGAGCAAGGGCTGCTCTGACACTCGCCCGGCCAGCACAGCGCCCCACCCCCACCGCATGAGACCATGGCCGCGAACACAGCAATTGGAAAGGAAAGGGGCACCCGATGATGCTGCTGATGCGCGCTTAGGCGTTTCGATCGCAAGGACAGCGCGCACTGGGTACCGGGCTTCCCCGCGTGTGATCTCAACTCAGAGCTCAATCTGAGACTCAAAATGGAAATTCTGTGTTATTTCAGTTTCATGTGTCAATCCGGGATTGGAAAATTCCATATGTTGGCAGGTCTCTAAGCAAAGTCGCCTGCACCTGTTGATCACTTGAAACCAGCTGTGGACGAGGCCACTCAAGTATTCTACCATGGGATACCGGCTGCGGTCAGGGGTTCTTCGCGAACAAGTTGCAATCACAGTCAGAACTAAGGTAACCCTGGGAGCTTTGGGGCCCCCACATATACATACATCGTGTTTAACTAAAGCCAAGACTCAGACTGCTGGGGATAGCAACCTGATACCCTGAAGAAGAAGAGCCGGAGAGCGTATGCCGGACAGAGCGGGGTTCGACTTCATCGATGAGTCATGACGGCTGCAAGTTGAAGGCCAATGTGGTTCAACATGCTTGAAGTACGAGCGACAGTCAGCTCAGAGCCGCACAGACTTACAACCTTCGTTGGCATTTCTCGAGCCGACTTGGGTATCTGTCTGTTGTCATAGCCGAATCTGGAGAAGTTGTATAGTGGTAACCCGACGAAGAGAATGGAACCATGAAGGGATTTTGATTTTTGTTGCTGGTAGCAAGATTAAACTTTCCGCTCGCAAGAGCGCGTGCTTATGTCCGCAGCTAACTCCGTTCGCTTGTTTGTCCGCAGCTTCAGGCAGCACCCAGCGGTGCCCAAAAAGGCTGGCTTCGTCGTCAGCGCTGTTGAATCTATCGGTATGATATATTGTCTAGAGTCTAGAGATGCCCCCAAGCAGCAAGTGACTGGAATGCCTGTGAGAACTCTGTGTTCATGCGATGGCTTCCCCGGCACTGACTTGCCTGCCCTGACTTGAGAGACTCTGAGAGACATCCTCTGCGAAGGGCATCGAGCCGGACGAGTTTCTTTGCGCTCTCTACAACCTTCAGGGCCATGATGCCGACAGGCCTATCCGACTTCAGCCGCTGGCCTTGCAAGTGCAGCGCAGGCTTCAACGGCCAAGCACAGCGATGGCATGAGCTCTTTTCGCAACAAGAAATCCTGTTCGGTGACGCAATGAAGCCGAGGCGGGTGGCGGCCTCACAGGTTGACCCAGAGACTGGAGGAGCTCGGGTTGAAATTGCTTCAGCCATCGACGGGGCGGTGACTGCAGGGCTCCGGTGCTACTTTGGCGACCTTTGCCCGGGCACCGGCTATGTGGTGGCGGTGACGGCGGCATGGGGTGGCCTTGCGCTCGGCGAGCCCAGGCCTTAAAGAAATAGGGGGCCTCAACGGCCTCCACTCCGTGGATTCTCTGTCTGCCAGGAAGCACGTTTTTTCCTGCCTGCCGCAGCTGTTTGCTCGAGGCCAAGGCCCCAATTCTTTCTTTGTGTCCTGAAAAGATGGCCATGCTGGAGGTCCAGTCTATGACAGGTGAGGCACTTGCCAGTCTTGACATGGCCTCCTTCACACCGGAGAGTCCGACAGTTCTAAGCATCAAGGAGAAGTTACAAGAACAGCTGGGAATTTCAAGCTTTCGCCAGAAACTACTGCTCGACCATGAAGTGGTCGGCAACGACGCTACTTGGAGCTCCCTTGGCTGTCCCGCCGCTATGCTCCTGGTTGTTGTAGACTATGTGAACGGAGTGGAGGAACAACTTCTCAGCGCAGCAGAGGAGGGTAACGTGCGAGAGCTCCAACGGCTGCTGGAGACCCCCCAGCAGCCTGACTGCCAAGATGCTCGTGGTGAGACGGCCATTTTCAAAGCAAGCCTTCAAGGCGATGTTGCTATGCTCGAAATGCTGAGACGAGCGGGAGCCGATGTGAACAAAAAGGCTGTCAACGGCTCTCCCCTCACGGCTGCAGCACTTCATGGGCACCAGGAGGCAGTGCGTTACTTGCTTGCCGCACAGGCCGACGCGCGGCTTGCTTCGAACGGCAAGACAGCAGTGCATGTTGCTGCAGCGCTAGGCCATCTTGAGATATTGCAAATGCTTTTGGATGCGGGTGCGGAGATGAACGCAACGAACTCGAATCGAGCAACTGCTCTCCATCTTGCGGCTGAGAGTGGACATTGCAGGCTTCTTGAGTACCTGCTCGATCATGGAGCCGATAAGGATGCAGCGAACAGGATGGGCGCAACCGCGCTTCACATTGCTGCTGCCTCGGGGAGGGCAGAGGCCGCCGAGATCTTGGCGTCGTCTGGAGTCTCCTTGATGGCCCAGAATACCAACAACGCAACGGCTCTCCATTTGGCTGCGGAGGTGGGGGATGCGGAGGTGATTCGCGCACTGCTACGGCCCCTACAGCTCTCTGCAGTGGCTCCTGTGGTGCATGCGTCTGAGGTGCTCGACGTCCCGAACTGTGTTGGTGCCACAGCTCTTCATTGTGCCGCAGAAGCAGGGCACTTGAATGTGGTGGAATACTTACTGGAGGCAGGTATTAGCAGGGATGCCACCAATCGGAAAGATGCCACTGCCTTGCACCTGGCAGTGGGCAAACAAAGGTTAGAGGTGGTGAAATGCTTGTTGAGTGCTCGCGCAAGCGTGCACATTCGGAACGAAAGTGGCTCCATACCCTTGCTGCTCGCCGTGAAGACCGAAAATCCTGATCTAGTGCAAGTCTTGCTGGAAGCCGCTTCTGACGTAGAGTCCCAGAACCTGGCAAAGGAAACCGCCAGGAGCCGCGCCTTGGACCTTGGCCTTCAGGAGACTGAGATCGGCCGGCTTCTTGGGCTGCCCTAAAGGAGCTGAGCTCACGACCCAGAAAAAGCAAGGAAGAAAAAGTGTCAAGTGCACAAAGCACACGTCATGTGTCATGTCGCGGCCCCTTCCACTGGCTAGGTTTGTGTTGGCTCTGCAAGCATGTGTTCGTTCGTACAAGGCCAGCTCGACTCCCATGCCGAACTTTACCGCACGTCTTGTCAGCGATCCCTGACAACGTGATCCTAAGGATGTGAAGAGCTCCATCCGTTGAATGCCGGCACTATGCGGTCATGTGCACTGGCGTGGTCAGTTGTGTGGCAGGAATTCTGGTCCTACTTGGGCGGAGATCGCTTGGGAAGAGCCTTGCGCCCGTTCCCGAGAGTGAGGCTTGCAGTCGCAGTGCACGATGGATCGGTCTCCGGCAAAAAGGAGCTTCTGCTGGAGCTCTCGAGCGAGGGCTGCCGGCGAACAGAGCTTGCGTCGCCTCCGGTGCAGCTGGAGGGGCTGAGGCCCAACACCGAGTCACTCGGCCCGAGCTGTACCGTTTGTAAAAATGTCGCCCTTGCGACTGGACTTCCGACTTTCGCAAGGTATGCTGTGGCAGTGAGCACACTCTTCAATCGTCAGCCGGTGCCGAAGTTCCTCAGCTTGCTGAAACTTTCCAGACTGGGGCCAGAGGGCACAGCCAACGAGATCCAGCGCTGTTAGCAATGGGGCCTATTGTCATTGAGCCCAGGCTGTCCTTCGTGACGCCGCAGGAAGACTTGAGTTCTGGTGCGATGACTTCCTTAACAGCTGCCATGAAAGACTTGGGGAGCATCAAAGAGCACCTTGGTTGTACCTGTGCCTCTCACAAGTTGACATTTTCACACGTGACCGCGATGGTACTTCGAGGTCTCTTGGTGCCATCCATGCCGGGGCGGCCAATGCCGAGGTGATCCGACACCTCGGGGCACTGCAGGACAGCTGGGCCGCTAGGCAGAGCTTGAGTGTAGCTGTCCGCCGCCGGAGCCGCCGGTTGCAGAATTGAACTTCTTTGAAGCATCTGGAGATTGTGTGCGAAGAATCAGAAGCTTCCGAGTCATAGATTGACGGATACCAAAAAAGCGAAGACATAAGAAGGGCTCGTTTCTGCTGATGCTCTCGCAGCTGAGGCCTCGCTGCAGCTCTCCGGCGTCACTGAAGAGCTGAAGAAGCTCATGGATGCCAGTGACCAAATGAAGAAGGACATTTCCATGGAGTTTAAGCCAGTGCTTTCTGGCAGCAAGCGCCCGTTGCTGCATGACTCTGCTCTGTACCGTGGATGCTGAGTTGTGGCCGTTTCCGAGGCTTTCAGAGCTGCAGGGCATCCATCATACTCTCTCGACGCTGATCTTCGTTTGTGGGTTCGAGGCCCACGGGGGAATGGATGCATATGTCCTATGTGCCACTGAGGACGTCTTTGTGATGAGACGCGGAAGGCTCCAGGCAAGAACGTCACCTGCATTGTCGAAGCTTTTCCCCATGCTCCGCCTGCAGGAGAACTGCGATGAGCAAATCGCGACTGTGTATGGTTCTTGCCCTCGAATTCGCTGCCTGCGCTTCAACAAGGAGCCGATCTGTGGCAGTATGCGGTGAAGCTGTGCCAGAAAACGCAGCAGTACTACGTTCTTGTCACCTGTTGCACGAGCTTGTGGCCGCTGCACTTAGCTAGTTTATTGGAGCAAAGCCATTGCGAAATGCGCAGGGGAACTCCGTGTTAATAGGTCATTCACTGTAAGGTGGGCAACGAGTCGGGATTTGGCACGATGATCGAACAAGATATTCACTTTGAACAAAAATGTCAAGTGATAATGTACCGAGCCTAGCCCAGACTGATGCCTCCTTCGGGAGCTCCTTGAAAGGGAGCTTGTACATGATGAGGTCATGGAAGTGTTGCTGCCAGACTCCTGCTTCAGTGACCGGTGACGCCATGCAAATATTTTTAGCACAGCTTCCATGACTGCAGCCTTCGTCCTGAAGCGACATGCTTCGTCTACCATGTGTCACGTTGAGTTTCGGAATGCGTTGTTGAGTTCATGCTGCTTAGGCTGCCTCCAAAAAGGTTTCTGTCCTGCCATCGGCGTCGCGCTTGTCGCGGCCATGTGACTGCACGGGCAAGAGTATTGGGGAGTTGTGTAACACTGTTGACAATGGGACAGGTAGTGAGCAGTAGCCAACGTTTCTTCCTCGTGAACTTGGGGTGGGCGCCGACGGGGGCACGGACTTCGGTCCTGTATGTTTTGGGTTCCGATTGCCGGTTGGCTTCGATGCCGTTTCAACTGAATAACTTCATGTTTTCGCAGCGTTATGCGATTCTGTTTCTCTAATCAGCCCGTGATAATGGTCAGCCCTAAACCCTACCCATGACAGAAAAACCCTACCATTTTGGGACTCCTTGCTATGGTTTCTGTATAGAGTTCCTTAAGGTCGGTTCTTTGTCGGCTACATGTACAGCCTAAACCACCAAACCCCCAAACCCTAAACCTTAAACACTATAAGCCCTAAAGTCTAGGCTAAACCCCGGTCTTCCTCCTTCATTCGAGAGCTGGCAACTGGGAGTTTACAGCCGAAGACCCGAGAAGGACAATCCTAGGGTATGGCCTCTGGGGACATTGCAAATCCTAAACCCTAAACGCTATTTTCCCTTATCTGAGCTTAACTATCTGAGCTTAACTGGGTCCTTGTTGGACACAATTTTATTTTTTTGATAATGAAACCCACTAAGGCGGTTTTGGCTAAGCTAAGGGTTCAGATGCTTGATGGAGGACAACCGTGCTAGAGTTTTCGTGGGAGACCAGAGCTTCCGGAGTGCCCTCAACACTAGGAAAGGTTGCCGTTGCTTCGCCAATCCATTCGGCGAGTCAGCACGAAAGCTCTTGCAACGGATGGATGCCAAGCAATAACTCCAAAGCTTGCCTTTGCCACGACGGCGAGGCGTGTGTTGGTATCGTGGCCACCAGTTAATTCCCTTTCGCGAGGAGCTTGTTGCATTCTATGAGCGCCGCTGCGTCAAGCAAAAAATTAATCAAACTTAGATGTGAAGAAGGAATATGGCAGAAGACGCATCGTCAGAGGCTTTGGCTGTGTTTTGGTGTCGTGCTAAGCTTGGCTTCGCTTTTATGGGAGCAGGTGAAACAGGACGGTTGAAGGGGTTCGCCTGGAGAGTCAGGATTCGTAAATTCACACATCCTTCAGGAAGTTTAAGGGTACACAAGAAGTCCCAAGTATTCTTAGCGTCAGCTCCACGTGTCGCTCTGCATGGCGGTGGCTCCTGCATGTTTCGGAACCGTGAGCTGACGTGTTTGCGTGTCACTGCAGTGAAAGCTTACAATTACAGCGGATGGGGGCTCGAACAGGAGCGAAATGCCGAGTCATTTTCCGGGTTATCCCTGTGGTCAAACAGGATGAGCTCCCTGACGCTGACACCCTGCGTATTCTGATCCTTACTGATACCCATGTGCCACCGCTGCACTTGATGAGTGATCTCGCCAGTGTGGAAGTGTGGAGTGTGATTGGGAAAAAGACCTCGAATTATCGATTTCGCTTCAGGTCGGCTTCAATGAGAAAGACAAGGTGAGCCTGACACAGTTAGCCTCTGCAGTTTCCGAGCGTTGCTCTCGAGGTTCGTGGGAAAGACTCCTTGGAGACACTTGAGGACGAAGTAGTACCTCCCGGCCAAGTGCCTGAGCCGCCATCTGTCATGCTGAGAGGAAGCTCTGCAGATCGGAAAGAATGGCCGAGCAGATCTCATTCTGCATGGTGATCACCTAAGTTTCGTGTGAGAGGAGGAGCTTGTTCAGTGTAGGCGGTCACAGCTTCAGCTGCACTACGCTGCGTGCAGGTGGGGACCTGTTCCATGAGAACAAGCCATCCAGGCCAGTTGCCGCATGACTTTGCAGGCTCTGTCTGCTGTGACTGCGACAAGCATGCGCTGCTGTCAGGGGATGTCTCTTCAGAACCATGAACCTTCTGAAACAGTACACGATGGGTTCTGGAGAGGCCTCGCGGGTTGTGGAGTGTTACAGTGGGGTCTGCGGAGAGTCTGTTCAGGTGGCCTTCGAGGCAACTCCCAGAGCTTGGAACGGCTTGGAAGAAGCAAAGTGTCCTGTTGTGGAATTGCTGTGCGGTCGTAGGTGGTCAGCGATCCGGCCTGCTTCGGCACCGGCCAGGTCAACTACAAGGAAGACATGGCAACACTTGTTTTTTCTGAAGCATCAACGCATGTAATGCAGGACCCCAACTTGAACGTCGAGTGCCCTTTGTCCTGCTGGCATGCTTGAACTTCACAGCTTTGCACTTTCATTGTCATGCCGGTTCAGCTGCTGCTGAGCATGTTTTGGACGCCAGCTTCATGATTCATGGAAATCATGACGACCCTGGCGGAGAGAGCAATCTCTGTGCAGCGAACATCTTGGAGGCCGCGCGCGAGGCCCAGCTCACCACCTGGTGCTGATCCCTGGTTCACAGGTGGGCGGCCTGTGCAACTACTTCGGGCGCCATGAAGACCTCGAGGACCCTATCTAGTCGAGCGGCCGACAGTTTTATGGAACCTGCCCTACTCGCATGAAGGACATTGTCATCAGGCCAATCTTGCTGGTCAAGGCAGGACGGGATCAGCTCTCGGAACCCCTAGCCACCTTAGCTGACAAAGGAAAATGCGACCGTCACGACGCACCGAGTGACCAGCAGAGTCGAATCACAAAGAAGAAGACAACTTCTACCCTCCTGCCCTAGCCCTGGCGAAAGAACGAGAGAGAGTCGAACGCTCCCTAAGCCCTGAGGAAGAAGAGAGAGCATAGCTGGGAGTGATTTTGAAGCTTGGAGGGCAAGACCCGAGTGGCGATCTACGGCCTTGGCAACATCCGAGATGAGCGGCTGCATAGAGCTTTCCAGGTGCCACCCTGCCGTTTGCTTTTGTGCGTGGCCGGTGCTTCACGTGCTTCAGGCGAAAAAGGTCCGCTTCGAGGCGGGAGGTAGAAGTCAGTCGCTACCGCAAAAGTGGTGCGGTGTGTTGCCGCGCATGTTTCATGACAGACTCCTGTGGACACCGAGAAGTGGTTCCACGTGATGATCCTGCACCAGAACAGGTGATAGCTTTGCGCCAGCTAGGGCAAAATCGACTGCACCTCTTCTGCAGCGAAGTACGCTTAGAGCGATGGAGGCACAAGGGCAACAAAGGTGCGGTGCCCAGCAAGGCGTCGGAGCCTCAAGGCGGCTCTTCGAGGGCCTTGGGGGGGTTTAGGGCTCGGATGTCAGGTGTATCCACGAGGAGATGCTCCCTTCCTTCTTGGATCTGGCGGGGCATCCCGGCAGAGTGGATCGCTGAGCTCGTGGGCTTCTGCTCGAGGTCATCTGGGGCCACGAACACGACTGCCAGGTGAAGCCACAGGAGACGCCGACGCGATTTGCATTGAACATCATGGTCGTGTGCACATCGCACGCGCCCTGGCGGGAGCGGACTCCTGAGCTGACCAGGAGTCGCTGCGCGGAGAGTTCTATGTGATGCAGCCTGGCTCTTCTGCTCAGTGCTCAGACTCCCTGCGTTCAGCTGTTCCGGCACCTGACAGCATTGCTAGGTGGCCACGTCGCTGTCTCCACAAGAAGCGGGGTTGAAGCACGTCGCCTTGATTGATGTCAAGGAGGGCGTGTTCAGGCCTGGGGTAGTTGAACATTGAGACTGGTATCTTGTGCATGGTTCTTCAGGTGCAATCCAGTACCGCTTTGGACAGTGAGACCTTTGGCTACGGACTAAGCTCGAGGGTGTCCGACTTCGCGGAGTTGACTCAGCCCAGGTGATGCGAGACATCGCTGCTCTGACTGATCTTGGCAGTGGCTGCTCCGCAGGGCAGAGTTGCAACTGCCAGGTGCTCTCCGAGACAGGCCTCTTGAAGACAGACACCCAGGCTGTGCTCCTCGAAGACTCGAAGAGTGTGTCCGCGTCCGTTCTGTTGGGCAAGTGTTGGGCACATGCTGCATGTTTGTGACCTGCATCCCTGATAGCCTGCCGTATCGAGATCTGAGCATCAGGATCGCCCAAATTGGTAACTGACGAGCATGAAGTCGTTCGTCCGTCCAACGAGCGCAAATGTAGTCTCACTACCAGCAGAAGCAGCAGTGAAGCATAGCGAAGCCGCAATGCCGCATCTCATTGCATGAGCTGCCTTTGGCGACGTGGATCATGGGAACTGGAAGGAAAGACTTTCTCTCCGCATTTCAGTGATGATCGGTGCTGCATGCAGGAGTTGGAATGACTGGCGGAGCTGGCGCAATTCGATCTGTGCAGTACAGCAAAGTACAGCAACTTGAGCATTCTGTGGCATGCTGCGCATAAGCCTGAGTTGTACAGGAAGCCGAAGCAGCTTGCTGTCGTCATGGGCTGCCTGACCCCTGGTTGAGTTGAAATTTGACATGGCTTCGGTGGTATCGTGGCGCGAAACGAGAGCGATGCTTTGACAGTGAAACGCAACCCGAGGTGCCGCTGGCCTTCTCTTCGCCTTCTGGTGTGCGTCTCGGAATCTGAGATCAGAAGCCGTGAGGGCGGTGTGCAGCAAGTCCGTCTGAGGCATCCGCGAGAGGGCTCCCAAAGCACCGTCGAAGAAGGCCACTATCACTCCTGGAGCTTCGTATCAGGCTTGAGTGTTTTCGTGCCAGGTGGGTCACCTGAAGCGGAACTCGTTCCGCTAGCGAGAATGCCTTCACCTTTGCAAGTTCAAAGGCACCAGTTTCCGTCGATCAACTGACGAGTTGGCACACTGTTTCAGTCCGTTTGCGTTGATTGAGTCAGTCAGTCGTTGCTTGTTCATGTCCTAGCAGAGACAGGCTTCCCTCACAACCCTCGCCTGTGCTGCTGCGTGACATTCCGCAGGAGCACTGATCAGCATGGTCCCCCCAACCCTGCCCCTACCCAAATTGTGGCGGCTGCCTGTCTGCCAAGTGCACGTTGCCCGCACGGCAGGAGACCACACCTCCGACAATGGAGTCGCCATCGCCGTTGCAACAACGCCTGGATCTTCGAGACTGGCCAAGCCTAGATGGCTGCCAGGCCTGGGGGCGCCTTGCGTGGGCCAGCTGAGATCAATTCAGAGGCATGAAACCTCGAATGGGCGGACAACAGTAACCGATGCGGCAGTGTCTTCCGAAAGATCCTCTCTAGCTCAAGGCGATGCTGTCAGCACCTGTTCCCGCTGCAAGAACTCCGACATCGTAGGTGCTCGTACATGTGGTTTCATCGCGAGACGTTACCGGGCTGTCAGGCTGCGAGGAAAGATGCCAGCTCTCGGCCGGGCAGGAGCCGTTGTGATGTTCCGCCGTGAGCGGTGTGGCAGTGAGAAGTGCAGGCCTTGTCTGCCTCGCGCACCACAGTACCCTTACAGGACCCATTGCTTTTCAAGCCATCAGATCATCAGCGGCTTCCTTCCGTTGACCGCAGGACCAAGGAAGTCGAAAACATGATCCTCGGGGAGCGTGCTGTTGCCGCTGCCACCGGAGTGGTAGACGAAGCCCTCTGCCCCTTGACTGCACCTGCAGACGCGGCACATCCCTGAAAGTCTTTTGAAATGAAGCGAGGTCACGGTTGCCAAAACGTCCAGACAGTGACAGCTCAGGTGATGGCTGGCACCTATTCGGAGCAGCAAGTCTGCAAGATATATTTTGTTCGATTTAGTGCCGATGGAGCGCTACCTGCACTGCCAGTGTGAGCACAACAGTGTCCAGGATATGACATGGTGCCGTCGTGCACTGACGGGCTCGGTGGGGAACCAGCAACCAGACGGCAAGGTCCGGAGGAGCAACATTCAGCAATCTAGCTGCTTAGACTTGTGAGCTTCTTTAGCCTTGAGCATGGTGTGGGTCCACCTGCAGGAATATGTGCGTGGCTACTTTACATGTAAATTCGATTATCGAGTTTGAAGCAGCCATGGCCATGGCAGACGTGGACGTGGACCTAGGGGCGATGTGCAGCCCCGCGAAATAGCAAAAGTTGCAAGCTTACTTGTGGCAAGTTCCTGAAAGCACTTCAACAGGTAATAGCGGCATAACCACAGCAAAACATGAGCAGCCACCGTCAGGCACAAGGAGGTTAAGCCGATAGATGCAAGAGGCGAGCACAAACGACAGACATCATACTAGATCTTGTCGAAAAGGGTTTATTTCTGAGTTGAAGATGATCGCTCCGGCTAGAACTGAAATGCGGCAGCAGCGTGGAAATCGTGAGAGGGCACCGGCCATGTCAACTGTAGCAAAGCCAGAGTGCATGTGTGGCGGGAGGCGTTGAACTCGTGTGACCTGGAAGGCCATTGGCTTGTCCTATGGAATCGAGGAAAGAGATCTCTGGAGTGAGCTGGCGACTTGGCGCGAACGAGGAAGGGCCGAAGTTGGAGGTGTCTTCAGAGATGGGAAGCCTGAGCCAAAGCAGTCCTGAGGCTGAGGCTGAGACAGTGTTAGAGTTCCGAGACCCCCTCTGTTTGTGCCAGTGCCTTTGCAAAGCAAGGTCAGCAACGTCTACAAGGCATCAACATGATGGGGCTGCGAGTCTGCGACTCTGAGCCATACGAAGCCTTGTAAAAAATGACAACTTGACAGGTTCCTCCGCGACTTTACGATTGCTTCCAAAATCCCCAGGCCGCAGCTGCACAAAGCAAATTGCAAGCAACCTTCGGGTCGATCTGTTCAGGCTTCGCCACCCCTGCAGGGCTCTGCCCCAAACGGCACCGGCTCTTGTCAAGGAGTTGGTGGGCACTGCCCCCTGGCCTTAGAGATTCTCGGAGTGTGATCTTCACAAGCACACGCCACACGCCCTAATCGTTGCACACACTGTACGTCTGTGAGGGATCCGTGATCGTAAGACCGCAACAAGCCGGCAGATCCCCTTCTGTGAGATGTAAAGCTGGAGAGCTATGGAACATCCATGGGCTTCTGGCAAGACACGAAGAAGCAAATCGATTTTCCACGTGATTGTGAGCATGTTGAAAACGTCCACCGGCATTGTCATATCATCGTTGCTTGAAGCCAAGCGACGCAACTTCTGGGACTACGAGCATGACCATGACATGAGTTATTGCTGTCGTCAATGAGGACCTGGCGCTTCAGTAGGTTGTTCGACTCATGATTTTAGGGTGCGTCAACAGGCTTGAACGTGTGCCACTCTTCGAGTGAAACGTGGCGAAAGCCTTCAAGCCTGTTCATGAAGCATGCTTTGTATCCTAGTTTTGATGCACGGCAAGAGGCATCATGTCTTGGCAGTTTGAGTTTTATGCAAGCCGTGGTATGAGATCGCACTGGTCTCTCAAGAATCAGAGGGAAAGCGGAGTTTTATGATGGCCAGCCCGGGCAAGGCAAATGAGCACAATGGTCTGCTTGTTCCACCATGTTGTAGTGAGCCCGAATGCATGCGCTGACACAAATCAATACAGGCTTCCCTAACATTTCTGTGTGCAGCTTGGTTCATACAGCTTCATGTCCTCACGGGCCAGTGTTCAAAATTGGTAAGTGTGCTGCTGAAGCCGCTCAGGTTATGAGACGCCTTACCAAGCTTTCCAAATTTGCCTGGGTCCCGAGAAGGCAAGCCACGGAGGGCGGAACTACGATCCCTGCATGCACTGAGAAGGGTTGATGTCTGATTCGCAGCCTCGCCTTAATAATTGCAATAATAAGAGCAATAACGATCATAGTAATAAACATGTTGTTAATAATAGTAATACTAATAATCGTCATATAGAAGCATTCAAGGAGCCCTTGGAGCTGCACCTGAGAGATCGCCATGCTCTTTCCGTACACCTGAAGATCGACGTGGAAGGTGCCAACCCCGATTTTGTCGACAGTACGGCATGGAGACATGTCCGCTTCTTATGATGTAACGAAAAAATCAATAAGCTCTTCATGCTTGGCCGTTTGTGACAAACGTTCTGGAATGCAGTCTTGGCGACCAAGTTGTTGGCACAGATGCACCTATGCAAATTTGCGCAGGTTCGGAGTGGGAAATTCTGGAGTGGTTGCTGGCGAACCCACGAGAGATGGACAAAATCCGCACCCTAGACATGGAGGTGCAGGAGGGAGGGTGTCCTGACAGTGTCTTTGCCAGCCTATCTCTATAGGGTAACTTACTACGCCAGCGTGGACCCCAAAACAGTCCCAAAGCAATGAAGAGGACACCTTACAGTCCAAGATAGTTCCAAGCTTTACCTGCCTCGAACCATTGCTTTTGCACCCCTGAAGTTCCCGAGACAAAAAACGAAGTCACGGGATTCTGACGGGAGCGCGATGCGGGAGGTGGGAGGTGGGAGCACGTGTCGCACCCAAGCTGGAGCACGATTTCCGGAGGCGGATTTCGCAGAACTGCGGCGGGGAGACGATGTGCAAGCACCAAAATACGAGCGGTACTGCGCACCGCCGTGAAAAACAGACCAACATAGACACTGAACTGTGGCGCCAGCACGATATCCACGTTGGGGAGTGCCAAAGCAAACAGTGGACTTTTATGCGGGAGCTGGACTGTGGCGAGAAGCCGATTTCAGTCGTCCCTGTGCACGCCGTGCTGGAGACCCTCAACATCAAAGCCTCATGCTTGGAAACAAGAACAACCTTCTATGAAACGCTACAATACCTCCTGAGTCGGCCCACATCGCCCCCCCAGTAGCTTTGATAGATTTACCCCCCAGTAAATGAATACCCCGGCGACCATGATGGCTTCCGACAAGTTCATGAACAGGTGCACCTGGGTTGGAGCGTGGAGTCCTCCCGTGGGTTGGCACGCACCAAGCTCTCTCCGCAGGGCCGGGTGGCCAAGGAGAGGAAACGGTTCCTGCCAAGTTGGCCTACAGGGTTAGTATTTGTTCAGGGTGATTTTGGGGCACAGCCGTTAGGTGTATCACTTTAGACTCTAAAGCCTTTCTTCGATCGTGTCGGAGGACATCGAAACATTGGAGCATCTGGGCAAGTACTTGCTGTGCACGGGATCCTCCATGGAGGTTCTCTTTACTTTGTGCAAAGTTACAGCTGTACATCTGCTTGCCAAGTAGCAGCGACATCGGTACTCGTGCGGTGAAATGTGATGGACATGGAGGTTCTCGCAGAGGAGTGGGTGAAGTGGCCCCACGGCGGGTGGCTTGGACCTAACGATAGGCATGCAAGTCCGTAGATTGGGCATGCCGAGCCTTTGACCTCATCTGAGGAATTGCAAAAACTGTCCAGAGCCGCTGGCTCATGCTGCCGGGGGCTTCCCAGTGATCCAATTCGAAGCTAGGCCGCAAAGCAACTAGCTGGTCTCAAGATGGTACATGTGCTCCAAGTAGTTCTTTGCCGCACATGCAACATTGATCTCGTAACGAGCAAGAACATGACGTTGCCACGACGAACTGAACTTCCACCCGAAACGTGCTTCTGTGACCGAGCAGCGCAGGCGATCAGCTTTGTTCATCCAGCATTGCTTGGATCCTCTGCGGCATGCCTTCCCATTTTGGTGCGACCGTGACCACCTCTCTGGAACTCGGCCACTGCATACCAAGGAAAGCCTGTTCCCAAGACTCCCTTCGAGCCCGAGCTTCCGAGCCGCAGCATCCCGGTGCAGTGGCCGAGCCTCAGCCCCTGTGAAAAGACGCACGGTGGCAAAAATGGAGCACGTTGCTGCAGGCTTTTCTTAACTGCTGCGCGACTAAGGACTTACACGACCCTCAGCTCACGACCGGGTCGGCTCCCTCCTCAGTTCCAGAAGAGGCATTGGCACAGCAGGCACTGACGTTGACGAGTAGAGGGCTTCTTTGCCGAGCTTTTCTGTGTGATGGAGGCCGTGTTTACCGAATCCGGAACCCTGGCCGTACGTGAAGCGCAGCGAGAAGCTCATCAAACTGGGTGAGCGCACTGTCAAGGCGGCGACCGGTGTCGTGCAGGAGGAACTATGCGGAGGATGGTACATGTTCGGAGACTCTTGGCTTTGATCGCAGGTCAGTAGCTCGGTGTTGCTTCCTGTGGCCTGCTCCCAAGGACATGACATGGTGCTTGAAAGCCATCCAGACTAAATGGGGCACCGAACAGGAGGATGGTGGCGTGATCGGCCTGTCGTACGGCATTGAGCAGCGAGATCTGTGGAGTGAGAAGATGAGCAACCTGTACAGGGTGCCAACGCGCCTCTACGACTGCTTCCAGCGGCCTGATGACTCCCCGACGCTGGGGGGCAAAGCTCCGAATGCAACCGGCAAGTGCGCTGAAGATGGACTTCACTGTTACGAAACTCCGTACCAGGTCTTTCAGATCTGCTCCGGACCAGAGACTGCTTCAATTCAGGGCAGAAGCTACGAGTCGCTCGAGTCTCACTTACAGGATCGCAAGCGCCTCTCCGTACATCTGAAGATTGACACCGAAGGTTCGGAGTGGGAAGTGCTGGCCTGGCTTCTCAGTTCGCCACAGGACATGAACAAAATTCGCACCTTGGATATGGAAGTGCACTTGGGCTGGGTGGCCGACTCCGCACGACGAAGCAGCGCTCGAGCTACGATGTCTTCCATAGCCCGCCTTGATTACGACATCCGATTGCTCGAGGACCTTGGAAAGTTCTTCCGGTGCACTGGATCATCGATGGAAGTCTTGGGTGAGGGATGGGGCAATGATGGCCGTGGGGCGTGCTGGGCTGAGTTGTTCGCGGAAGGATGATCTGTGTCTCTCTCTGGGGTGCCCCGACGAATAGATATGCATCTGCTGTTTTTGACATCGTCTCAGGAAATGCGGGGGTGTGTGCCAGGAGCCGGAAGCATATGCTGCGGGAGGTTTCCCGGTCACTCAGTTTGCCATCAGTGTCTCGGCACCTGTGCATTTGCATGGGCTCCTACTCCGACTTGCCCGGAGTGACGAGTTGATTTCCAGCTTCTGACAGCCTTGAGCCGTCAATGAGGCTTCGTCCATCCGGATCTCGTGCTGTGAAAAGCCAACATCCCCTCAGCAACCTCTTGCAGTGCCGATGAATGGTCGTGGCAGGCGCAATATCCGGGACTGCTCAAGGATATGTTTTGACGATGCGTCTTTTGAAAAGAGAGTTTGTCCTGCCAGACTGGTAGCTACAGACGAGACAGCTGTCACAGGCTGTCAAGGTCATCGAGGAACATGAAGCGAATTTGCTGTGGCACCTCCATGCTTCGACACGATCCCGTGCACAACTCTGAGCAGCTCTGGCCGAATCTGGCCGAGTTCCCTAGGCCCTAGGAGACAATGAGAACATGAAGGGTCCTCATCCTCGCCACTGTGACAATCAGCACCATCGTGCAGGTTGGCGCTAGAGCCACCAGACAAGATGCGTTTCACCACAGCAGGAGGCATGTCAGACAAAGGCTCGCTGCTAGCAGCAGGTCCAACCGAAACAAGACTGACTCTGCAGCCCTCGTGCATTTCGATGATGTGGTTGTGAGTGGTTTTGGGCTGGGCAGGCCATCTGGAATGCTCTCTCCGGTGAGGTCGACTCAATGATAGCTCAAGGTAACCGTCCTGAGTGCAAGCTCATGTTTCCTGAAAGCCAGATGCAAATTGCTCGGCCTTGAGGTGAGGAAGAAATTCAGAGGCGCAAGAAGGAGTTGGAGGCCTGAGCTGTGCGGCTTGAGTTCTGGTGTGCTTGAGGCCGTGTGTGTTGTGAGGCTCGCGGAAAGTTTGGCCCCAAGAAACTGGAGGCTGGACCGTGGTTCTGTCTCTCCGATGGGATGGCTCTAGCTTCAAAGTGCGTGGCGATGAGATCTGCGAGCAGGCAGGCTCTGCAGAGGAATCTAGACATCTGGAGGTTCGTAGAACACTCCAGACGTCCTTTCTCAGTGCAGATCTGCCCAGATCTCTCTAGGCTTCCTCACCGCGGCCACCGGCCACCATGGTATCTGCGGTAGGGCTTCTCTCGCTGGCAATTGGCACCTTGCTTGGGTTGCTCTTCGTCTTGGTGGCAGGCCTCGGGAAGCTTCTTCCGGGTCACCCGATGCACGGCGTGCTGGGCGCCACCTTCGAGAAAGTGATTGGCCCCTTCTTCGGCCTTCGAACTGCCTCGGCCAGACTTCTGCGACTGCTCATCGGCGCCGCGGAGTTCAGCGCAGGCCTGGTCTTCCTTATGGTCTTCTGGGGAGAGCTGGTCCCGGGCCTCCCTCCAAAGATGAAGCCCCAGGCTGATGCCTTGCTTCTTTGTGCTGTTATGGGAATGATCAACATCATGGCTGGAGCGTTGGTTTTCCATTGGCTGGTCGACCAGGAGGTGAAGAAGATCGTTCCCTACTTCGTTTTCCTCCTCCTTCTCAGCGGACTCCTGGCTGAGCGCCTGCAGGTCACCGACTTTGAAGCTCTGTCCGGGAACTGGGTGCGCTGTCTCCACGCCTTCCCGTGCATTTGCGTGGCTGGATTGGTGCTCTCGCTGGCATGTGCTGCCAACTACGGCGCGAGTCTAGCAGAGATTCAAAAGCAGAACGAAGACATCGAGAAGATGAGAGAGCAGCTGCTTTCAAAGTAGAGCAGACTATGGGAAGACGATCGTTGCGAAACAAGCGCAGTGGGCGTGCCCAGGGAGCTTTCGCAAGCGTCCCTATGCGGTTTTAAGATGCACTGCATTGCAGGTGCCAGAGCTTCCGTTGGTGCGACTTCGAGTGGAACATTCGGGGCCCAAGCCTGTCAATTTGTGAGCGCAAATGGAAAATTCAGAAACGTGTCGTAGGACAGCCCGACGAGGTTCGACACCATCTCCGGCGCAACCTTCGGCAACCAATTTGTGGGCCGGGTAGCGAACCCGGATGAAGCGACGGGCCTAGAGGCTGCTGAGTGACGGCTTCACTTCGCTCGGGCATCGCTACTTGTAGGGACACATATTTACATAAGGTGCTGCTTTTCCATCGACGTGCCGGCGGTGGTGCTGCGGGAAGCCGAAAGGACTGAGATGGACGGAGTCTGAGTTCAGGGGCTGCAACGAGGCAAAGAGCGAGTTCTTCGCAGGTTCAAGGCCTCGGCGACATCCTCGAAATTGAGGAAAACACAATGCCGGGCGACGATGGTGTTAAGATTCAGGCACAGACCAGTCGTGTCGCTAAGTGCTTCTCAGCTACGATATAGAACCTGGAATGTTTGGAGGACATCATCTACAAGTACATAGAAGGTGAGCAGAACCTCCAGGCATGGTGTGACGAACCAAGTCTGCTAAGTCTGCTGCTTTTCATCAAGAGCTTGGGCACCGGGCGAGGTTCTTCCTGAACCTGATCTGAACGACGCCGTGCTGCACCCAGTTCACAGTGCATACTCTCAAGTCAAGATGCATCGAGCTCTGTGACGGCCTTCGCCTGAAGCATGCTCAGCTGTTCTGCGACATGTTCCTGAGATGTGCTTGTGTTGATGCTTCTTTTGTAGGTGAGATGATGGGAAACACCGGTCCTTAACTGCAACTCGTCCTGTCTCCCACACCCTCTAGCTTTAGATCGAGATCAACAACTACGGGTTGGTTTTCAGGGTGGGAAGAGTCTGAGCAAGCAGCCAATGAGAAGAGTCATCTCTGCCGTATCACCCGGTTAAGCTCCTTCATCTTAAGGAGGCTTGCAAGGCATTACCTGTAGCGCTCCGTGCTGGGACTGAGATAGATCGAGGGCTTGATGTGTGCAGGTCTTCAGGACGCTCAGATTGTAAGCTGGTTTTGGAAGTAGAAGACGGGTCTCCTAGCGGCAGGTGCAGTCGTTTGTGCACAGATCCGAGCCCTGTGCCATCGAGCGGTTTGTCAAGCAGGCCCTTTTTGGTTTGACTTTGTGGGAAGCAAACCGAGCTCAAGAAAACGCCAGGCTGTGGAATCCACGAACCAGGCCAGGTTCGGAGCCTTCGTGTTCTCTGCCTTCCAGCGCCAAGTCGTCTGAGGCGGTCCTCAAGGAGAGCCGGGCTGTGGGTGAGGAGGAGATTCGAGTGCAGATCCAGGAGAGTTGGGGATGGCTGGGGAGCTGCTTAGTTCTCCGCTTTTCGTCACGGAGTGATGACTGGGGCGAAGGACCGCGCAGAGACGCTGAGGCAGCAGCGGCTGGCCGCAGCGGCTGCGCAGGGTTCGCTCTCAGGTGCACAGCCATGACCATCAACCGCCATCAACACTGTTCCGCACAGCTACGCCTGCCTTGTCAGGCCCGCCGACAGAACGCGCAGACAGCCTTGCGAAGCGAGAGCTGGCCGTGCACTCAGACGCCATTTCGAAGGCGTCGCAGCAGCGAAATCTTCCGGCCAGGACCTGTTGGAGGAGCCACGTGCTCCTGCAGCAAGTATGGCGGAGGCGAATCTGCAGAATCTTCGAGCACATTTTTCGGGGTCACGCTTTCGGTCGATGATCTTTGCTCTGAGTCTTGTATTCTGAGAGCCGCGTTGTCGATGAAAGGCATGGTGTACAGGTGGGTGTGAGGCATGCGACAGTGCACACATGCGGAAAAGGCACAGGCAACCCTTGATCGCCTGTTGAGTCTGAATAGGGTACGGATCATGGGCCGGGGTGGGGCAGGCAAGCCGGAAAGGAAGGCTTTTGAGAGCCACGGAGCCGCGGCAAAGCCCCATTCGGCCACAGGCCATTCCCCCGACCGCCTTTCAACCGGAGGAGGCCGAGGCGGGGACTTCAATCCGCTTCAGCCCTATCCCAGACCCGAAGTTCCCAAATTCTGCGCAGGCCCCACGCAGAGGCCGAGGCCGCCTTCCTTTGCCGACAGAATGGTCGAACTTGGTTCGTTGCAACCTGCCCGAAAGGTGCGCGAGGAGGCCGAGGTAGCCGAGGAGCGTGTTTAACATTGATCCTTCGATCTGGGGAGTGTGCAAGCTGCAATGCAGGAGGACGAGGCCGTGGCTCCAAGCGGTCGCAAGACGACTTCGACCTGGCACCAACCCCGGCAAAGCAGCCGCGAATCGCTCGTGGCGATGCTCGCGTGGCGGCTTCCCAAGCTTCACCCCAAGCATCCCAGGCGCCGCCCGCCCCGCCCTGTGCGCCCACCACAGCTCAAGCCTCCACGGCCACAGTGCCGCCCGCAGCGGCGACGCCCTTCCTACCAAGAAGGGCCGGGGCAGTGGCAGACGCAGCCGAGAGCTTCCTCGGGGCATCCCAGCACCTGTCTCAGGCCCAACTCCAACCCCCTCCCAAGAGACAGTGGGCCCTGAAAAAAGGGTTCTAGTTTCAGTCTTTCTATTTTACCGGATGCTTCTTCCTCAGTGCATCTGGGGAATGTACAAAGACCGAAGCATCCTTTAGGCTTTGGACTTGGGCCTGTGAGGCTCCTCGGAGTTTGGTTGGGCTTCAGGTCGTCCATAATCGCAGGTGGCTCTTAGAGCTTAGCTGGGTATGCCATGCTGCCAAGCCCTTCAGTCAGACAAAAGTGCAGTGCGTTGTGACATTGACATCATGTTGTTCAGGCATGTTCAGGCATCACTGGCCGTTGCCAGGCCGGGCCTAGATGTAGAGCCATTTTCAAAGTGCGGGCGCTCGCCAGCTTGGCGCTCAAGCCTGGATGGCCATCTGCCGGACATGGCATGACTTGCCATGCCTTTCCATGATACCATGCGCAAGCAAGCCCAAAGTCTTTATGGTGCAGTCTATGCAGTGGTATTGCAGTCGCGTTGTCTTGCGGGCATCACCGCAAGTGCATGCTGTCCATTGAGGACAGTCTGTGTGCCAAGCAGGTTGTCATGGTAGAGCATGCCGTGCTTGTGTCTGCTTCTGTCTGCTTGCGCTTTTGCTACTGTACGTAGAGGACTTTGTGTCCGAACTCAGTGCGGACCATCCCGAGGATGCAGAGGAGAGCGCAAGCAGTGCCATACAGGGGCGCAGGGATACAAGCTGGTGTCAGACATGCTAGGATCTGGGTGAGGCACTAAAGGCGCCGAACCTGGCACTGGAGATCTCTCAGCTGAAACCTCTCCTGCGATGCTGTGGCTAAGGTGCTAAGGCAGCAGAAGATCAACAGTTTGGAGCGCCTGGTGAAGCTGACAGATGGCCAGACAGACCCTGAGCATCCTGAGACCGAGCTGCCACTGTCTTCGCACCCACAGTGACTTCCCGGGCGGCCTAAAGGCACTAATCAGGTAAGTCCCGATCCTGACGGGTGAGCCTCAACGTGTGGGGAGCTACCTGCGGTATAGCTGTAGGCTCGTGGCCGAATCCAGGCCTGTTAGTTGGCAGCCCAAGTAAGGCAGAGCGCAACCTCGATCTTCCACCGTCCCCTCCTGATTTCGCCAAGGTGGCAGCGCTTGGGCATTCCACTGGGCATCGAAGCGCTGCTGAAGGAAGAGGCGGAGGCGATCGGCGAACGTCTGCCGATACGGCCTTGTGTTGTCAAATCCGTTGACAAACCGCTGCAGTCATCCCTGAGAATCGCACGGTGGCTGTGTGTGTGTGTGTGTGTCTGCATTTGGAGCTGATCTGACTTCGAAGTAGTCTCCCAGATCAGCCCAACCTTCATCTCCAAATTTATGACTTGAGGTTCACAGGTTTTCCGGGCCCTTTGACATAGAGCCAGAGAGTGTAGCCTCAGGCAACCCTTGCTTCGGTTTCTACGAGCTGCCCGGAAGCAAATTTGTGGGGATCATTTTTGGATTCAGTGAAGAGGGAATGTAAAGGTGTAGAACTCGCCAAAGACAAAGATCTCGGCGACCCGAGTGTCCCAGGTGCAGATCCCGGACCGGCGGCCTGGAGCCAAGTCTAAGGCAGCTTGGACTTCGGACCTGCATCTTCTCACGGGCATGCGAGCGTTTGGCTCATGCAAGGGACTCCGAAGCTGTCAAGGAGCAAACTCAGCAGGAAGGGCTATCTTCTAAGCCTCCATAGCACAGTAGAATCTGCGGCATTCAGAGACTCCTGGCTCATTGATGTTGGCCCGTTGGCTATGGCTGCTGTGGCATGCCCGAGCCCGAGCGCAGGCAAGGGGTCCGGTAGGTGATATCATGGTGAAGATCGTTTGAGGGGCGTCTTGGGAGAGACGCCCTGTGCCTTGGGCGCAGGACCCGAGCTGCTGGGATGCCCAGTTCACGGCAGAGCTCTGTTGCGACCTTCAGTTTGGTCCAACAGGCCAGCGATGCATCAGGCTTTTGAAAGGCAGTTTCTCGTAGACCCTGCCAGGCAACGAAGGCTGCTGGGATTCGGTTCATACCTTTGCGCGCTGTTGCGGAGAACCGAAGCAAGTACAGGAGGAGGTGCGAAGTTCCCAAATGTGAGTGGAATCAGCGTGTTCTGTGCCTCGGGCAGGATTGCCGACATTCCAAGAGCTTCGACTCTGAGTCTTGCTGCGACCTCCTCAAAGGCGATCGCGGTGACGAGGCTCCGTCGGCATGCAGCGATCAACGAACCTCGTGCAGCCATGTCGTGACATGCCGCCATCGTGTTACTCCGCGGGACCATGACTCTCTGATTCTTGTGCCAGGCCTGTTGGACTGGTGTGACCTGCAGCAGTCAGTTGATTTTGTCAAGAGCATTGCAGCTGCCGTGCCTTGAAGCTGTCGATACCAGGGTAAGTGTGTTGCTCGTACTTGAGCTTTCTCTGCGTCTACAGAGCAGCTAGGGAGCTAGGCTAGCAGCAGGCCCGTTGAACCTTGATCGCCCAGCTCTCCTGCCCACCAATCATGGGAAGAGCAGCCAAGTCGAACAACTTCGAGAACTGCTGCGACAGCAAGCTCGCGCACAACACGAGAGAGATGGAAGCCGCGCCGGTCTTCGGTGCCTTGTTGCAGCCTAGAGCACGCCAGCGCTTCTCGACGATGAGTGCGTGTGCTCATGCTCCTTCAACTTCGTCCCTCTTTCACATGAATCATACCGTCGCATGAACCGGACCCGTGTCGTGTCATGCCAAAACCCATGTATTCTAGAGGGAACGCACTCCTCTCCGGCTGCTTTGTGTGCCTTTCGCTCGGGAGGCATCTTTCCTGGCAACGATGCACCCCACGCCCTTGCTCAATACATCTTTTCCTTCCGGGAACATCTAGTTATTCCAGCTCACGAGCTAGTTTTCGGGGTCTGCTCAAGCCCTCCATGCCAGAGATGGACAGGTGAGGATGGGCTAGACTGAGAAATGCGCGAAGGGGCCGAGGATTTTTTCTTGGTGTTGTGAGTTCAAACGGGAGTTCCCGAAATAAGGGGTGCCATATTTTGGGGTCCTTTTAATAAGGATCCCACTATTTAGGGTACTATATTAGGGTCCCCTATTTTCGGAAACCCCCCAAATGAATAGAAGCCAGGTGTTTTTTAGTTTGCTCAGCTGGTCGGCGGAGTTTGCTGCCAGGTGCCGGATGCTGGGACCACGAGGAACACATCACCTGGCCAATGTGCTGTGGCAGTCGACATGATGAGTCTCTTTCTACCAACTTTAGCAGTTACTTTCCTTGCGCATCTGTCTTCGGGACTGCTTCCCATGCCCTTCGTGTAGACCAGTTGCTCAAGTACTGAGGCTTATGCAGCGCACCTGTTGGTCGGGAGGCTTCACGTACGACCGTTGCTGCGATGGCTTGGTTCCTATTCCCAGGAGAGGAACACGCTGGCACACCACCGAAACATTTTCCCCGAAAGCATGGCGAAGGTTTTTTCAGTTTTTTTTCCGCGGAGGTGGTGTGGATGTCGGATGGCATTATGTGATGATGTTGATATCTTTGGTTGTCGTGAAGTTGCATGGCATGATGCGAGGTTCTCGATCGGTTTCCCATTTTTGAACGCACGGAGCAGGGCCAGCGGGAGACGTCGCTCATTTCGTAAAATGGCTCTGTGACGATTCATGCTCAGATTTGGCAATCCTCTCAACCCTGTCGGTGGACGTGGTGTGTCCGCATCCTCCGCAAAGCGCGATCCATTGCAACAGCTCTCGGGGCCAGCGGCATCTTCGCATCCCTCGGTAAGTGCCGTCCATCGAATCGTGGAAAACTCCAATGCCTGCCTCATGTTGACCTCGAAATGACAGCCCCCTCGAAGCGGCGTGCGCGCGTGCGGCGCTGCATTGCTGTTAGCCTCGACATGTTTATTCCTGCCAGCCCTTGTTGGTCATATCTCTAAATTGCGCAGTACATGGGGGGGAGCCTTTTGACATGCTCCTCAATCCCATCTAAATTTCACCAGACATGGGCATAAAACATGAGAGTCGCGCAACATCGCGCTGCGCGTGGTGATGCCGTGACGGTTCGGGGTGGTAATGTCTCCGAATCCCGCCAGTACATGGGGGAAGCCCTCCTTCAGCAAGCGCGATCCGTTGCTAATTCTCATGCCTTGACCTCATGACAATCCTCTCCGTTGGACACCGTGGTGGCGCATGAGTGTTAGCCTCGAATCTAAATCCCGCGAGTTCACTCGGGAAGCACTTTCATGTCTCTGAATCCTGCCACTACATGGGGAGGCATTCAACTGCGCTCCTCAATCCCATCTAAATCCCACCAGTACATGGGGAGAAGCATTGTGGTCATGTCTGCAAATGCACCAGTACATGGGTCGCAATCCTGACTGCCGCTTGGACATAGGACACAGCAGGGACGATTTTAGGTCGAGAGTTTGCAGAAGGATTGATGGAATGAGTTGCAGACGGGTTGACAGAGAAGTTCATAGGAGGGTTTGTGCACGCGCGTGGAGAAGGGTTTCTGGAATGGTGGATGGATGGACGGATGGATGGATGAATGGATGAACGGATGGATGGATGGATGAATGGATGGATGAGCTAATGTTCGCTGCTGCCTCGCCACTCTAAACACTTTCTGGACACTTGGTTCTGTGGTTGCCGTCTCATGGAAGGATCTACTTGCAGCTTCCGCGGGATGATGACCTCGTGCAATGTGCAGTGAAAGGCGCAACAGAGGTGAGCCTCAGCCTCTCGAAAGGCCAATGCAGCGGCAGGCCGGGAAGAGCCGAGTGGACCTCGTTTTGCCGGAGTCGGCCCAAAGCGACGCTGAGGTACTTCAATCTGGCCGGAGTTGCGAACCGACTCATGGACTCGGTGTCCCGGTGGCATTCCTTTCGGCGACCGAAGATGTAGGCTCTCTGGTGGTGCCGAGGACGTTCAGCACAGCTTCTGGTGGCAAAGACGCCTGAAGACCGACATGCACCGTGCGGAGCTCTACTCAAACAAGAGTATTCAGGCTGCAAGTCATAGGTACTGCAATTCGGAAGCACCATGTTGGTGTAGTGTTGGGTCGGTGCCAAAAAATACCA